GTCCAAAAGAAATTTGAAAATGTAATCACCCAATCATCGTGTTAAAGCCTTGCATTACACTCTCATGCAGCATACCACTTTAAAGCTAGATGAATTCAGCATCGTCTGACACGTTAATATTTCATCTATGTTAAGAGACGCCCAAGATATGGTCACTCAAAATTGACCTAAAAAAAGAAGGCTCGGAAAAATTGGGCGAAATCAAAGAAACGTAAATTTGTCTTCTCGCGTGTAATTGAGGAGCATCAATACTGATGGAATGGAGAAACATTGCAGTGATGAGTAAGGTGAAAAAAGTTTCTTCGTCGAGACCTTTAATTTATGGAAGAAAGATATCAACAGAGGAATTAAAATCGATGGAGATAAAGAAAGAGAGAGAGAACAAGAAAACCACAGCGAATGAGAGAGAGAGAGAGAGAGAGAGAGAGAGAGAGAGAGAGAGAGAGAGAGAGAGAGAGAGAGAGAGAGAGAGATAATATGGTGGTCGAAACTTCAGAAGAATGAGAGAACCGAGCAGGAGATTAAAGCAAACGAAGTCAGAAAAAATAGACAGGAGACGCGTTCATGTACTTCAATGAACTGTAATACAATTCTAAATCACTCAGCAATATTACTACTTCAAGATGAATTGGCTTTTTATTATGGTTTGAAAATCAATAGGAAACGGCTCTCCGCCCTTTCGAGCAACTGAATAGTGCAGAGTGAAAAAAGGCAACAAAATTGTTCTTTTTCCATATATCATATAATACACACATTTAATTTTGAGGCAGACCCTTGCATTTTTCAAAAGTTTTTTCTGCATTTCTTTTTATTTTAAAAATCGATTTTTTCCCCCTGACCGTGGGTAGGAGATGAACTTGACAAACGCAATATCCGGTGGAAAAGGGCAATACGTGAGAACAGTTGGCAACATAACTCTAAGGTTAGCAATCTGTTCTTGAACAATAACGATGCTGCTCCAAGTGCAATTAATATTTTGGGCAGATGTTATAAAGAAAGATGGATCGTTCTGACAGTTACCTTAGGGTTAGCATTTCTTGAGCTCAGCTGAGGGTAGATTCGAGATCTACGGGGAAAGAAGAAGGCATGGAAGGAATCATGTTGTGATCCACCAACTTCCTGAGTATGATCGTATGATTTAACGAAGTGGTTGTTAGATTTAGTGGCGGGTCTGGGTGTTGTTGTGTTGTCTTGTCTTTGTTACTGTTGCCGTTGTTATAGATGCTGTTGTTGTTGTTGTTGTTGTAGTAGCTATTATTCCGTCACCTTTGCCGATATTTCTGTTATAAAATCTAAATCAATCTTCTCAAATAGTAGGGCTAGCAGCATCTGCGTTTGTCGCGGCCGCGATTTTTGGCATTTTTCAGGTCCGCCACCCCGATTGTTTTCATTAAAACAACAACAACCCCCACAACAACAACAACAACACCACCAGTGTCATATAATTTTACAGTACCATCGTACCAAGTAAGGAATATCGTTTGGATTAACCCCCCCCCCCCCAATCCCCCATGAGTTTTGTTTGAAAGTAATGAATCTTAACCAACAAATTGTTTTTTACATGATTTTTATCTATGATGAAGTATCATGTACATATTATACCATGTGGACATTGTGTCGATCATTTAGGAGGAAGACTACTTTGATCCTGTATCCAAGGGCCAAACAAGACTGAATGAGATCCAACGTTTCAGCAGCGAGAAGGAGACTGGCCTACTCAATAACATAACCTCTCCTCACTGGAATCTTGCTGTGGTTTTCTGCGTTCAAGACAAGAATCGTTACGGTTGTGCATTAGGAGAGGCGCATTAAATTGTCACAATAAAGGCTATTATGGCGGAAAGAAGCAAGAGACAGAGACAACAGAGGGACAGAAAAGTAGGATCTACGTCTAGTGGCGTCCTCGAACCATCCGTTACAATCAACTTAATTGGGCCTACTATACTGTGGGTCACCTTGGTCTATTTCGCAATCAAAATTGGCTGTTGTCTTGCTTCATGTGCTCTTTTCCCCGCCGTTCTATCTGTTTGTTTTAGGGTTTTGTTGATGGTTGGTCCCCACTGTTATAGCCGGGCGTGTCTGTCCCTGTGCCTGTTGTAAGTAAACAAATAACTTTTCCACGATATTTTGTAATAGGTTGAATCGGACTCGGGGATTCATTATACGCCAGCAATAGCTGGAGTCCTGTTAAACCCGTGACTGTAAAAAGTGAGACCTACTGAATCGTCCTAATCTCTCCTTTTTTGTATGTTACTCTCAACACCTCTAATATTCTATTTTAGTAAGAGCTGTACGGCGCGCTTGCAACAATAGGTCATATAAGTACCCGAGATTAGAGATGTTACTAGATAAGTAGGCTATATAAAACAAGTTGAATAATAGAAATGGAGAGATCAGGAAGAAAGGTGTTTGATAGGAAAGAAGGAGCAAACAGCATCAGAGCACCTGCCAACCACCCACCTCTAATATGTAGGCCCGATGACTAATTTGTTTTGAGAATGCCGTGAAACTCTCGCAAAAGCTAAATAAAGCTAAAACGACATGGGTGGAGTCGAAAACAAAACACAAAAATTAATACCGAAAAATTATTCAGTTGCTTTATCCAGTTACTGGAACTACAGTCACCCTTTTGCTCGAGATCGTCGGGAGCTGACACTTTTGTAATAATGAATGGCCTAATAGCTCAGAAGAAGAACTGTCAGGATTTGACGTGATGTTTTGTGTGTACTTCACATTGTCGTAGTGAATAAGCAGAACGTCTTTTGTGTGTATTTGACATTGTCGTAGTGAATAAACAGAACTGGCGTTTGTGTGTATTTGACATTGTTGTAATGAATAAACAGAACTGGCGTTTTGTGTGTATTTCACATTGCTGTAATGAATAAACAGAAATGTCGTGGGGGTTTTTTTCTGTGGCTTCACCGGCATCGGTGTTGAGAGGTTTAGCTCTTAGCCTTTACGCGTAAGAGAAGAAGTTCGATCCGTTTATCGAGTACCTCTATTTGAATGCTGAGATCAAGGTTGTACACGTATCTCTGTATCGCATGGTTAGCCCTGAAGGCATCGTCTTTTAAATCTAATTCATGTGTATTGGGACTCTAAAAAATTAACTATGGTATAAAATATCTGGTTTTCCAAAACACCTTTCTGTTGTCCTTATATGACTTACTTTTGGATGGTGCTTTCGTTCATTTCACCGATGACTATTTCCGCCCCTCTTCTTGACTGGGACTTTGATATTATAGACCCTATTATATACACAAAACGATTTGATAATTTTCGATTTCTTGAAAGCCAAATAACAATGGCATTATTTCTATGTAGAAATCAGTACAGTAACCGTCCTACAATCGTTTTCAGTCTGTAGCCTAAGGCCGAGAGTATTGAGAAGCTCCAAAACACACACACACACACACACACACACACACACACACACACACACACACACA